CTTAACTAACTTAACTAACTTAACTAACTTAACTAACTTAACTAACTAACTAACTAACGAACGAACTAACGAACGAACGAACTAACTAACGAACGAACTAACTAACGAACTAACTAACTAACTAACTAAATAAACTAAACTAACTAACTAACTAACTAAACTAGCTAACTAACTAACTAACTAATTAACTAACTAACTAACTAACTAATTAACTAACTAACTAAACTAAACTAAACTAAACTAACCTAACCTAACTAACTAACTAACTAACTAACTACCTAACCTGACCTAACCTAACCTAACCTAACCTTCCTTCCTACCTACCTACCTACCTACTACTGAAAATAGAATGTGATCAGGAACATTGCATTTGTGAACCTGCCGAGTCTCCGAGTCTCCCCTAAATGGCCTGTCACCATGAAGTTGTGGGAATTAGGATCAGGTGTATTTTGAGGCGTCCACAGAAGACGGACCAACGGGTCTTTGGGGCTCTGGTGATCTTCTTTCATGAGCCATCGGGTGCTGCAAATTGCTGTGTGGGTGATGATTGAAGCCGACCTAACTGATATCTTCGCAGGTGATGTTCTTAAGAGAGCTGATTGCAAACTATAGCGTGTGGTGCTCAGGCTGCGATCGCCATTTCGTCAGGTCGCAGGGCCTGGCAAACCAGGGCGCTTATTCCAATGGACGTGGCCCCAAAAAGTGGGTTCAGGGACACAGGTTGATGAGTTCTCGAGTCGCTTACATCAGTGTGGGATGGTACATTCGATGGTTTGGAGCAACCAAATAATTTTTTGGCTAAGGAGATGCGTTTGCCCATCCTTCAGCGGTTGGCCGAGTGCATCGGTGATGTATCACAGTCGCGGGTCGGGTGGCCGAGAGAACTTCACAGAGGTCAGAAGTCAGTCAGTCAGCCCTCAATGCCGCATGCAAAGTGCTGCACCTGCTTTTAGTGCTTGCGAGATGTCTTTGGAAATGCGTTTCGAGATGTCCTTGAGATTTATTTCCTTTCAGGGCTTCTGTGATATGGAGCCTTTCCGTACCTTTGTCATGGCCCGTGGCCCTTCTGGTGGAAGAGAAATATAAGCTTCATGTGGGTTCGTGTGTGCCGTATCCAAGGGTTTCACCCGATATCAGATCTTTATCCAGCAGGGGGATGCCGGGGATTTCCATGGTCGGCACCCAACGAAGACACCATGGATTTCCTGTGATATGAGTCAAGGACGCTTGACTCACGTACCCGCTTTTTGTGGCGTTATCAAGCTGTTCACCCCACGTTTCCGTAAAGGTCTAATGCAGCCGCCGTGTCGCCTCTTGTTGCCGCTGGTGTTCAATTTTTTAAATACTACGCTGACCTTTCACCTTACCGTTCCATCGAGTCAAGGGCCTTGCACCGCGGACCACCTTTTGGATTATCGTTCGGAATGAAACTCTATCGAAGTGTGTGTGCACAGTGTGTGTGTGTGTGTGTGTGTTGGTCTTGTTGGGTTTTTAAGCCTTTTGCTCGAGCAGGTTTTGCGTGGCTGCCTTTGGCTTTTCGGTGAATACTGTGAGGATGAGGCTGCCGGGTTTTCTCTGGAAGGATCCATCAACTCAATCAAATTTGTGTCTTGATTCGATCTGACAGTGACTCCTAAACTGGCTGTAGCTGGTCTTCGCATGTTTCTTCATGTCAGTCCGCTTTGGGACACCCAGCCACCCCACCACTGCACCGATGATGCCTGCACCAAGCCAGGCGCTGATTGAGAGCGTGATCCAGGCGGTCTTGACTTCGCTGAGGCTCCCGGCTTCCCATGGGCAGGCTGATCTTTCGACGGCTGCACAGATCGCTCAATGGCAGTGGCTCCAAAATGCTCAGACACCTGTGAATTTTAGTCATGGGGATTTAGATGGTACCCTATGGTACCCTACTGTTGACACTACTATCTTGTCGAGCCATAGATAGCCATATGCATTTGACAGAGACTGACCTGCTGGAGTTCTGAGTTGGGGCGCTCAAGGTGCTTTGATTTGTTCAGTGGACCACTCAAACACGCATTGCAGCAAAGAGCTGACATGGAACGCTTGGTGTTGATGCGATCTTCAAGCTTTCATGGGCTTTTGAGTGCACTTCAAGCTATATAGCCCCGATGTGCGATGCTTTCTGTGTTGCAACCCTTTGCTGTTTGTAGTATACACAGTTCTGTTGAGTAGACCTTGAGTACCTTTTCTCATGGATTAGATCATCCTCTTGCATGCTTTTAGCATTCATTATTCTTGTACTCTTTTCATTTTCACCCTACCTCGCATACCCAGTACAACACTAGGGGTGATGAGGCGAGGTTGGATGGTCAGTCGTGTAAGTGTGGGAAGATGTTCTATTTTTCCCGGTTCCTGAAGAAAATCCAAGCTAACCACGGGGTTGCTTTTATGTTTCGGCGGATGACCGCCAGGGTGGGGTACTAAACTAGGTCTTTGACCATTTCACAGGGGTCTTTCCCCAAAAGAGGTTGGGTAAACGAGCAGCACTAGCTGGGCTTTCACCCACCTCTTTTTCCCTCTCAGGATGTCACACAGGTTGTGCGCATTTGGGGTGTGTGTGTGTGCGCGCGCGCACGCGCGCAGGCCGCTGCCTTTAGTCACAGAAGATGGGTCTCAGAAAGAGAAGAAAGAGGGCGCAGGTGGCGAGAAGAAGAAGGAGACGGACGTGACACCGGTGACGCGGTTGAGACAAGAGCAGGGTGTTTATGTAGATCCTACGCAAGACACAAGCAAGTTTATGCAGTTATGAGTAACAGGGCAAGTCCCAAGCAAGTGGACGTCCAGAACCATGTTATGTGTGTGTGCGTGTGTGACCGTTGATTCTTTGTTTCTTCGCTACTCGTGTGCCCAACAGCATTTTCGACATTTGGTGCCAACAGAGGCTCTGTGCAACCTCAACATTCTGCGCCTGACACAAAGTCTAATAGACAGTGCGTTCCCCAATTTAGCTGTTCTTTGGCCATTGTCAGTCATTGTCATTGCGTCGTTGGCCGAAGAATGGCTGCCTTTTTGCTCTCTTTTGAACGGCGAACCGGTGAAGGGGTGCTTTCTTTTTCCGATCGTCCAGCGGGGATTGAGAACGGGTGCCCTGTTCTTCCCCGGAAACGGCCCGACCGACTCGCTGCGAGCGAGAGGAAAAGAAGGCACCCAAGATCACCACGAAGACAGTGGTGCTCGCGGATGGTACCTATGGCCACTTGGTTTTCCGTGTTGGTCGGGGCGTTTTGGTAGCAGATTCAGATGTTGAAGTAACGCATTTGCTGTACAAAGTGTGGTCAGCTTTGGTAGATTTTGAGTGAGATGCAAAAGGTTGTGGTTCACATGAAACATGGCCCTTTCACATCTTTCACTTTTTTCGTTTGACCTCAAAAGGTGACAGGCACTGATTGGTAAGATAGATTCCAGCATTGCAAGTGATCATACATCAAGGGTCCCAGCTCTTTCCTTGTGTGATGTCGAATGGCCACTGGAAATCTGAAATGCATTGATCCAAATTATACAGACAAACTGAGGCACCCAGAACGTCTACGAAGGAGAAGAAGGAGTGCAAACAGCGGCAAACAATTCTTGAATGACAAGCTCCGCCAAGTGCGAACTGGTTCTGCGCCTTTAACAGACCCATAGATTCCATAGATCAATATGAGTGCCACGCTTCATCCAAACAAACATTTCAAGTCGTCGACATTCTTGGCTTGGAGCATGTGCAGGCTGACACAAACTCACTAAACCCTTGGGCTTCCAACCACCATTGATTTAATGGTTTTCACCGAACATCCATCATTTACTGGGATTTTATTGGGTTCAGCCAGGATCTGGGAACACAACGCATGCTCCTCTGCAAGCCCTTTCTCCCAGCAGCATTTGTGCGGAGACGTTCCAGCGGCGAGGCGAAGAGGAGGAAGTGGCCGAGGAGAAGGGCAAGGCCGACGTCAAGAAGACAGCCTTCCGGACTCTTCTGCTAGGTGCGCAGGGAAAACATTGAAGGAAGGGAATTGGATTCTTCACCAGATAGCGAGCGCTTCGAAGCTTGGGTTGGCGCCGCTGCAGAGTGCTGCTCCGCGGCTGTGGCAAGATGTCCATGGCCGTGTGTGCTTTGGAGCATGGGTGCTGGAGGGTGCTGCTACAAAGATCTTGTGCTATTTGGGGTCTAGGCTGGCATAATTTTAAGGGTCAGGGAATCTGTTGAACTGAACTGCTTTCCAAAATTACAAGATGAGATGCGCACATCAAATCATCAAATCCGTGGCATCGGCTTTCTTCTTCAACTTGTCAACCACTGAACGCGGCCGACCTCCATGCCGGTCCTCGCGATGGAGGCGGTGATTTCCTACTCTCGGCGATGGTTGGAGTGTCTCGGCGACGGTTTTTTTTTGGCGGCGATGATCGTCGACCCAGTTCAGGGACCCACGGGACGTTGGACCTCCGGCACCCCTTCACTGGATGGGCCTCTCTTTTGGGGGAGATGGAGGAGATCAAGTGTGTTCTGTGTGTTTCGTTCTGAACGTTTGCGGACTTCGTTTTCAAGTTCTGCGCTGACAGTGCGCGTTGATGTTCGTGGCCGAGGTTTCATTGACAAAGCTTTGTATGAAGCTGAAGAACCTGCCGGTGGCCTTGCGAAACGAGGCGCCCTCTTTTTGGCATGACCGTTGAAAACAGGAACAAACGGCCCTCGCCACGTCCTTGGGCTGGGGATGCACCCAACCGGTCTTGGCGTGGTTCACTCCGAACGATCTCATTGGAGCGATCAAGGCTCAGATCGGACATTTTACAGTTTCACGTCACGCACATGCTTTTCATACCATGTCGCGCATCTCAGTGGTCAGTTTGATCGGTGCTTCCTGGATTGCCAAGCGGCCCAGAAACGTGGACGGCTCCCCCCCAAATCCGCCGAGCGCCAGGGTCCGGGTCATGGTGCTCGCGTTTTCTCCGGTTCCGCCCCTCATTGGCCAATCATCGGGTTGCATGCAGGTGTTGCTCGTGATTGTCAACATCCTCAAGCTAGTGAAGCAACATGTTTGTGGTCGGGACCCTCGGTGTAAAGAGCCCAGCCAGAGCTCGTCTCTGGGAGAAAAGAGCTCAGCCAAGCTGACCAATGGAGATTCTTCTCAGCGGTTGGGGATGAAACGCTCATCATGTTTGCGCGTTGTTGGACTTGAATTTGGTGAGTTGACCGTGGACATGATCCGAAGAAGAATTCTTGAGAGTCTTCGTGGATGTGTCGACATGCTACATG